AGTCGGAAGAATTATGCATATAAACAGCTAGATTTTCAATGTCCTAGATCACATGTAGCATCTTTTTCATATAAGAAAAAAACAGATGCATGAACTCACCTCATCTTTAGAGCTGACAGATTCAGGACGGTTGCGGTCCTTTCTCCTCAGCTGTAAAAGTGATCTGCAAGCATGAATTATTGCAGATTGGGGGGTGTGTGTGGGCTGAACGACGGTAAAAAGGTGGGCTGAACGACGGTAGAAGATGAGCTTCTAAAAATAAACACCGTTGGATCCTGCGTGGTGCGGCGGGCCGCTGCCCGTGGTGATGCGCTTTTTAGACTCTCTAAGAAGATTCCAAACTCCCGCTGTTGGTTCGACGGGGCGGAGGGGCCGCTTTTGAAATAAATTTACCAAATAAGCCCGGGTATTGACGTCACTCTTGATTTGGGTCTTGCACCGGGCAACGTGACTATCTCAGCAGGACTCCATTTGTCACTTTTTACTCTTTTTTAGAGGAAAACCATTTGCTCAACCTAAAATGATGATTTCAAAGTTGAATGAAAGCGACTTGTTCGGGTAGGTAGAACGCTCAGCACCTTTAGTGTGGACGATGAAAGCGATTCTGTCTTTAGTCCACTAGATGGCGACAAAACACAAGAGGGAAAAACTATCAAAACTCAGCATGGTTGCAACGTTGATCCATTTAAAATGTCATCAGTAAATTACAAATCATTTCAGTGGACTGAAATTTAATTTGCTTTTAGAAAGTGAAAATCCTAAATCATACATAATTTGTATACCTACAACAAAAACCTTGGCAAAAGGCATCATAAGGAAAATGCAGCCAACCATACCACAAAAGAGAAGTGAGGAAAAACAAAGTGAACACCATGAAAAAAAGCAAATATAGTGCAGTATTACTGGATAATTGTTTGTGAAGAACTTTTAAAAGTGGGAAAAATGAACTGAGCTCTAAGGATGAGCCCAGTGACATGCAGCTGAAAATTTCCTGTTTGTATCTGTTAATAATGTTGATTAGAGCAGAAAAAATTGAACAAAGGATACTGGTTCTCACAATATTAAGAGTATTACGTAACAATAACTCCGTCACTTTTCATATTAGGATTAAGCCCAGCTTTTTAATTACATAAATCCCCGCCGACCAAAAAGCACGTCCAGACAGAGTGCAAACTTCCTGTGTTTGGGATTTTAGTTTTTCTGTCAAAAATACGTATTTTCTGCAGATGTGACGGTCTTAACGTAGACAGGTTGTTAGGTCAAGAGCTTTGCTTATTGATTCAGCTCTTAACAGTTGAAGACAAGTGTTGTTCCTGCATTACTTCAGACAAGGTCCCCCAATCCAGTTCTCATAAAAAAGTAACCAAGACAGAGAAAACAGGCCACCAGACTTGGAGGAGCTGATGCTCAGTCACACATGGCTGCAAAACACTCCTCTAAATGACAAAGGTGATGCTTTCGTGACACAAAACATCATCCGCAAACATCCACACCAGGATGTCTGGTGTGGACACTGAGGTTCCACACCAGACATCCTCTTAACCCTGACTATTACTTTTCTGAAATAGACTATTCTTGTCCATTAGTACCACAAACTTGATCCAGATCCACATACGGGTGTAGGGTAAACTCCCACAAGCCATTCAGCAATCAGTGAGGGCAGCGAGACCTTGAAGAGAAAAACCTTAGAATACCAGAAAAACCTTTACAATTAAAGTGGAACTAACCCTGCCAATGGCAAAGTGTGAGAAATGGTGGCGTATTGGTAGATTTCACTAGTCGTCGATGTCCACACTCCAGTTCCGGTAGGTGGCAGTAAATGCACCTTAAGTTGGTTTTCCAACAAAACCTAAAAGAAGAAGAGGAGATGGGGCCAACTGTACAGATATACAATTGGTCCAGATCATAGACATAATATAAGAGTAGACCCCACATTGGGTACTCCGACGCAGGAAATACCCCAAAAAACAACTAGTGAGAAATCTAGTGACCCCCGCTAGGCTTTATAGCCCTGCTGTGTCTTTAGCAATCACCAAGGGCTGCCGTGAGCCTCTCCTGCTTCCTGAAAGGACTGCAGTCAGTCTGACACAGTTGTCCGTCCTGTATACCGTCCCCAGTAGTCGGAGCAGAGGAGTCCCGTTCCACTTAAATACAAATGATCCACACATTTGCAAACGGAGGAGAGCTTTCTGCCAATGCTCACTGCTGTCGCTATTCCAACTCCTGACTCGCCACCGGGCGGGGTTTTGTGTCTGAGTAAGGTGGGGTTTTATACACGAACTGGTGCCACATCTGTGCATTTACTGTTCTCTTCTAGTATCAAACCTTCTTAGTTGAAAATTTGATTTCTACTTCTTACACTTTTCAATCACCTACAAAAGCAAAAAATGTGATTGATGTTATGTACCCAAACCTAGAGAAATGGAGCCAAGGAAGATGCGGATAAGCAAAAAAAAAAAAAGGAGACTATGAAAAATAAATAAATTATGAGCAGTCTTCTTTGAATAGTACGCAACATGTATTGACTATCTGAGGACCTCCACCAAGATAAATCTGAACAGTGGTTAATTACACGACCGCCAACTAACTGCAAGAAATGAAGTGGTCTCCATGGACACAGAGCAACGAAGACTTTTCAGTGTAAAACACAAGGATTTAATAAAATAAAGAAAATAGAGGTCTTTCAGCACCAAGGACATCAAGACAGTTGTGTAAATGGACAGAGTGCAGTGCTATGTTAAAACATTTTTAGATGTTATTGCATAATATCCATTTTTGTTGTTTATTTTATTTTATTTTATTTTTTTGACAAACACAACATACCTCTTTTTCTTTTCTCCTCAGATAATGCACATGGTGTCATCTCCAAATCATTTGGTTGGAACCAGAATATCCTCTTACTTTCACAGAATGAAAGTAAGAGATTGTTCCAAGCAGAAAGCCAAAAGATTTTCTGTGCTCTTGAGAAATTTAGAGGGTTTAAATTTCTGGTTGTAGCTTTCATTATTCATTATGATCGAGTCACATATTTTAACGAACATGGACATGTTCATTGGATGCTTTTGAATTGCTGTTCTTGACCCAATAGGTTCTTTGTACTTCTCTGGCTTTGCACGTTCTCTTCTATTTAAAGAAGACTGGACTGGTTGCAATTTAGACACATTCTCTCCTACTTAACACTTCCTGCTGTTGCCGATTTGATTGGTACTTCCCTGTTTTTAAACCCCTTTTCTTTTCTCGGCTGCTGTTCTGACACTCTGTCCCGGCTGGATCCAAACACAGCCATGCATTGGAGTCTGTGTCAGATTGTCTTATTGCTTCTCTCTCCTTCCTTAGCGTGATCCGAGCCCTATAACTCTAATGGCTCCGTCAACAGACAGAGCTGTATAAGGAGCCAGAGTTTTATGCTGAGTTGTTACTTAAAAGCGAGTAAGGAGTGAGTGACAGACGAAGGTGGGCAAGTTCAGGCAGTATGAAGATGGACCTGAATCCCCTTTCTCAAAAAGTTTCATTCCTCCTTTAAGATTGACACGAATTAAATGAAAGTGACTTTCTCACAGCATGGTTTCTGAGAGCCTGTTGAGCTCCAATAAGCAGACGTAAATAGTTAAATGTGTATTTTGGGCATTTATCCTTCAGTTCTAATCGGCAAAAGCAGTTCGTCGTTTGTTTGGTGGCAGGGGGTGAGAGGTCCACTTTTTTTTTTACCAATGCATTCACCCTGTTACATGTCCTAGTCAAAGTCAAAACCCAAAATTCAATTCATAATCTCTGGTAAATCTTGAAAATTGATGTTCACCACCATTCTCCGTTCAATATAAATGACCGTAAGCAATTTGGCAAAGTGAAAAAGGGCAAAATGTTCTCTATAGATGTGGAAAGCTTGTAGCAAAAGACTTGCAGCTGTAATTACATGGAGAAGTATTGCCTCAGGGGAGTAAAAAAACAGCCGTATGTGCCTCATATTTAGACGTCTTCGTTTGAACTCCCTGAAAGTGTGCATAACTGAGAATTTTCAGATACAATTAATTTTGATAAAATACAATGACACATTTGTGGTTGTAATGTGACAAAATGTGAAAAAGTACAAGAGTGAAGAGTTGCTTATTCCTCCCCCCATCCCCCCCAGGGCATGTAAGTCATATGAGGCATGCAGCCTTCATTATGTGAGCTAGATTCACTCGCTCATTTCACAAGTGAGCTACAACTCATATTGGCCGAGTGGTGGCGCCAAAGAGCAGTAGGTCCATGACTGTCAAACATGGTGTTCAGAATAATATGTAAGATAAAGTCAGTGGATGGGAAAACTGCAGGAGTTTAGAGTAGATACTAATTTTATCGCTTTTATCGTGATGATAATTGGCGCTGTTCGTAAAGCAGATGTGGGTAATGTGTTCATTTATTTGTGGGATATAATACGATGAAATCTTGAAACTTTAACTTAATACCAGTTGACAAAATCAGCACATAAACGAAACAAAAACCAGACACACAGTGCGGTTAATTTACAGTTTTCTGTGTTAAATCAAAAACAGTTCTTTTATACCATAGTTTCCATCCCACGTATTCCCCCCCATTTGATATTATTTTGCGCTTTTACGCAAAGATACTGCAGCTTCTACCCCCCCCCCCCCCCCAAAACAAGCAGTTATTTTTAGAGCCCTTATTGTGAATCATATTTTGCAGGAAGCAGCTTTTTAATCCCTTAAAAGCATTCTTACGCAGCGCTCTAAACCGCTCCACAAGTGGTGGATCTCACAGGGAAAACAAGCAGCATAACTGCGCTTCCCATCAAGTAATGGCAACCGTGACCGCCCCATCCCAGATTGGAGCACCCAAAAAAAAAAAAAAAAAAAAAAAAAAAAAGGCGCGGGAGGGGGGTATTCAATAAATTATGCTAATCAGTCATGGCAGATTGGAGGCGGGTTGTTGCCTTAATGAGAGTGGGAGCTGTCGCCACAACATGGGCACTGCCTCCCAACTCCCCCCTCCTCCTCCCCCCCACTCGCCACCCCTCAGCTCGTGTCTCCTTGTACGTTTCCGTGCGTAACAGCGGCTTCCTTCTGCAGCAGGCTACTGTGCAACAAGTTTGCAGGAGCTCTACTCATCTATCCGTGGCTGTCACCATAAAGTACGCGAACGCATCGTTGCAGTCTCTCTCTCTCTCAGACGCACGCACACAGCAGCACAGCAGGAGCAGCAGCAGCAGCAGCAGCGTGCCATCCCTTTCGTGACTCCGCACCAGATGCGGTTTACTCCCGGCGGCGCACAGTTGAATGCGGGGGATCGAGAAAACAAGAGGAGCGTTTAGTGTGTGGAAAAGACATTTGAAGAGAGTGGAGAAATGGAGAAAGAAGCGAAGCGACACTATCGCACGACAGCGCTGAACATCATCTCGTCGTTATGTTCAGTGGCGTCCATCGCGTTCTGCGTCCATCTGAGCATCAGCGCGGCGGACATCAGGAGCCGCGTTGTGGGTTTGGAGAGCGGGACGTCGGAGCGCACCTTCATCCAGGTCCGCGGATACTCCATGGAGGATTTCAATTCTCTGGTGCAGCAGAGAGTGGATGAGTTGCTTTCTCAGGTAAACCATGACTTTCACTTTTTTTTTTTTTTAGCTGCCTTCGTATGATCTAGTCTCACTTTTCCGTGCAGATGAATTAAAGTGACATTCATTTGCAATTTTCAGCGCTCTTACGAGAATTTCGCCAAGATCAGGACGGCAAGACAAGCCTCAGCTGACTGTAACTGCCCCCCAGGTAAGGGCAAATGCACTTTTCCTAGTCCCAGATACACGCTAACTTTACTGATTAGGGCCCCAAGAGAACTTGGTTGCGCACATACAGGTGCAACTTAACAGATTGTTGAAAAGTTCACTCCAGTTACTCAGTTTCAATGGTGATACTTGCAAGTTATGCTCACAGACTAATCTCTTCCATGTGTTTATTTCTGTTCATCTTGATAGTTATGACACACAGCTAATGAAAACCCTTTGGTCAGTTTTTCAAATAGTTAGAACCAATAAAAAAAAGATTCTATATGCAGAAATGTTATAGCCAACACACAATCGTGAAGAAAACAGACTTGACAGTCGTCTACTAGTGACACCTTACCTGACACGCCTGGCTGTTGAGATTGCTTAATCCTATATGAAAGTTGAGTGGAAGGAAAAAGTGTGGCAGAAGAAACAAATCCACAAGCAACAGCCGTAAAATAATTAATAAGCAAAGCCCGTTTGAGAGTTTAAAACACAGGAAATGCAGCTGGAGTCAGGGCTCCAAGAGCAACTGCACAGACTTATCCGCTGCCGTCTCATTCTGAGTGTTAAGCCTCTCTTCAGCCAGAGACGTGGATGTGTCATATCTGTTCTTGAGAATAATGGAATGGACTGTGTCTCAGTGGTACAAAGTGTTCCGTGCAGGAGAAAGTACATTTTGAACTTCATTTGGACATGACGTCTCCAAACGAAGACTCTTGGAGTGACCAGCAAACACACCTGACCTCAACCTCACAGAGGGATATACGGCAGGAGTGCTCAAGTCCAGTCCTGGAGAGCTGCTAGTCTGCAGCTTTTATTATGCATCTGTATCTTCTCCAACACCCTTGAATCAAATGGCTGAATTGCCTCATCGACAAGCCATTCGTCTGAATCGGGTGCGCCTCCTTGTCATGCCGCATTGATTCAGTAATTCATGCAGGAATCCTGACCAAGTGTTGCATGCGTTAGGGTTGGGCGATATGGACTTATGATTTTATCGCAATATTTTGTGGTACTTTTGTGATAACAGCGACGATAAGAAGCATTTATTAGATGATTTTAGTTAACTGTATGACTGTGACTGTGTGTCACAGCAATTATAGCCACACAAATAAAACAAAGAGTGCTTTTGAAAAAGATTCCCATTTGTAATGTGTTTCTTTAGGAAAGAAAGCCATCTTTCCGACTGTTACTGTCACAATAGCAGTGAGACAGTAAACTATATGATGAGTAAATTTTTTTTTTCAAATTAAATGGTAAAATGAAGTTTTTAATTATGTTTTCTTTTATTGAGATATTGTGTGGCTATAATTGCAACGTCGTGAAACCTGCATAGTTTTAAAGCTACATTAAGAGTCATACCTTGATGGTAATTAACCGAGCACTTTGTCCTGACTGTTGTTCCTTTAGTAATTCATGTGAAGTGACTGCTGTAATGGTCAAACATGCTGCATCATGTCGGCTCACTTTGTGTTACAGCAAATACCAAAACTGACCCAGCTTTGAAAGCACCAAAAGGAAAAGTCTGGGGTGTTGTAGTGGCTGGTGGGCCTATTTGAAGTTGGGGCCCCTCAAATGCCAGCCGCGGGCCCCGTGCAGGCTTGGGCCGCCCCTGTTTATCTACGGGGGGCGAGGGGGGAGCGGTTAAACGTGGTGGAATGAGTAGGAATCTGTCAACACGGGGCGGTTTGGGGAGGTCTGATTGTGTAACAGCTGAGCAGCAAGGCACAAAGGCGAAGTGCTCGGCGCTGAGATGTGGCTCTGAGTGGCTGTTTGACTTGTGATGCCGCATGCTTTTGTCCACTTGACACAATAGGCAACCAACACAACTTGAAATTCACGTTATCCGCCAGTAGATGGAAACATTTATTCCTGCAGTGCTGGTCAGCTTTCTAGCAATTTCAAGGGGGAGATACAGCGAAGGTCTTGTGAGGGTTCAGCAGTGCTCCTCGCTTTGTTAGATGTTGCATGTTTGTGTGGCTCCTTCTTCTAAAGGAGTGAAATATCTAACAGCGCTAAATGTAGTCTTAAACACTGTGGAGTTTCAGCTAAATCAAATCACTGTAGTTCTTCCTTTGATAGCTAAAGCGTTTGGCACTTCAATGAGGACTTTTGAGGACTATTTTCATGACCGATCAGCCCAGAAACAACGCTTTGCTAATTGATGTAATTTCAGTAATGAACCAGAGAATTAGATGTGATGTGAAAGCAATTAAATTCACCTTGTTTGAACCCAACTAATGGTAAAATAAAAAGTGGAAAGCACTGCTGCATGCAGCCAGCATTTTGAATGTCTTTGGCGCTTACATGGGAGCAAAACAGAATAGAAATAGCCTTTATGGTCCCGCGGAGGGGATATTAAGCATGTTACGTCTGAAGAAAAAGCATAGACTTGCACAGTTTTTGGAGGCAGAATAAAACATTCGCCTTTAAAAGATACTTGGTTTCATTAGATTCGGATGAAAAAGGTCAAGGTGGTCAGAAAAAAAAAAAGTGTCCACCAAGCCTCTGTAAAGCTGTGTCCACTCCACTGCGCCGTGCTGATGTGCTTTCCAGGAACTTTATGCTCTTTCCTGGCAGTCTGCTGAACTACTTAGTGGCTGTTTACTAGACTTCATGCTTCAGGTAGTTTTCAAAGTTTCACAACTTTTTAAAATTTTGATCATGGGCCATCAGTCTGTGCGTCATAGACTCAGGGTTGTTACCCTGAGAGCATTCATACCCCTTAGTCTCTTTGACATTTTGTCAGAGTGCAAAACTACACAGCCCAACACAAAGCAGTGGACAAATATAAAGTCGAAAAAAAAAAGGAATAGATGGTTCCCCCTCTTTTTTTTCCTTCTACAAATACAAATCTGAAAAAAGTGTCTTATGCCCTTCTAGTCAATCCCTTATTCTCTATCTCAACAAACACATTTCGGAATTTGTATAATTTAATCTCAGTACATACTTTGAAGATCTTTAAGGCTTGTTAGGTAAACAAAGGACATCGTGGAAACTTTGGAAGAGCTGCAGAGCTCCACAACTCAGGTGGGAACATCTGTTAGCCGTGCACGCTATAAATCTGGCCGTTATGGAAAAGTGGGAGGAAGAAAGCCAAACAAACATGTGAATGAAAGTCGCTGCGCCCAGATGAGATCAAAATTGAACTTTTTGACACACTTAAACGTTCAGAGCCATGACAGAAGGGCTTATGTCAACACATGCATGTTACCGTGGCTCAGTCCCAAACCAAAGTCATACCAGACTTAACATCGAAAGGTTTTAAGAGCAATACTTATGGGTTGGTAATGAGCTACAGAGTTGATTGGATTTTGTTTCTGCAGCTCAGCAGCTGCCGTCAGCGCTACAAGACTTTGCCCTCCAATTAGAAGAAGTTGGACTCGCACACTGTCTGTCCTCTATTTTTGGAATAAGCGCAAACATTCGCCCCATCAGACATATTTGTTGCATTCAGTCTCGGCTAAGTTAGAAAAACATAACTGGACAAGGCGATAATCCTGAATGAATGAGTTCCCCTTCTTCACCCCGTGTTTTTTATCGACTGCGAATGAGTCATCTGCTGAGTGGGCATGCCTGAATTAACGAACCAAAATTACTGTAAGGATTAACATTAATGAGACCCATCACAGTCACGCAACCCTCTGCACTTCATCATGCATCTGTTCTTTATTTTCCTCCGCGCGCTTCACTGTGCAGGGCAGAAATTAAGCCATACAAGCCAATCAGATTCAAATGAAGTGTGACAGGGATAAACCAGAGGCAAGTCAACAGCTGATGACATGCCGCGCATCGTCCCGCAGCCTTCACCAGGTACTTTCCTGGAGCTGTCGTACAGAAACTTTCAGTAGGAAACAGCCCTGGTGGGCATCTGTTGCACAAGTTTGCCTAAATCTCCCGGATGGAAATTTGTGGAAGCCGACTGAATAACCAGTTTTGAACTCTTTCATGGTGTATACTTTGAATTCATCTGTACTGCAATAGGTTTAAGATATGATCAGAAGTTATGGCTTTTGATCCCCAGTCAGAGATCCCGTCCAGCTCTCCTTTTGCCAAAAATGTGACTGAATGCAGATGTGTGGAATCTGGGGTGATTTTGCATAAGCTATGCAAGATAACCACTGTGATGGAATCATCAGTCATAGTTTTAGTCCTGAAAATCAACATTTTTTTTTTAACCTTTGCAGGGGGATCATTTTCTTTTCTCTTCAAACTTTGCTAAACATCTATCACAGAGACAACTTTTCATTAAGTTTTGGCAATTTTGAATAATGTCCCAGAATGCAACTGTTACATAAGAGTTAATGGGAGATTAAAGATTCCAGGTAACATTTTGGAAACATACCTTTATTCAGGTTTTTGTTTATGCATATTTTTTTGGTTAGCTTTTAAACCCTGCTGTTGTGATTGTTTTGTACCTTGAAGCATACTCTTTGCAAACTGAGAAACTGAGAGCTTTATCATTTTATATATATATATATATATATATATATATATATATATATTTTTTTTTTTTTTTTTTTTGTATTTTTTTCAAGCAAATATCTTTACACTCTATGACTTCTGAATAGGTTCACTTAGTATCCATCTTCTCCTCTGTCTAAGAGACAGCCTATGGCTCAGATCTGGCTCTTTTTCTCAGTGTGAGGACAATAATGTGCTTTTCACAGTCCTCACTTTATTACTGTCATTGAAGATGGAGAGCTTGTATAGGCAGTGCAATGGGCCATAGCTTGGGGGTATTTTGTGCTTCTGAATAAGAGAAAATTTCAACAGTTTTTTTCTCCCCCCTCAGAAAATCAATCTTGAACTTTAGCGTACTTATCCTATATGTTGACATGATTCTATGTAAAAATCTAAAAAGTGGGCTTTTATCTCGCCGATGTCTTTCATCTGTAGCCGTGACAGGAACTGTTCAGTTTTCAGCTTCAAAGTGACTAAAAGCATTTTTACATTTCAGTTTGCAGATGCGAATGCTGCGTGCTGTTCTCATCGCGAGTG